CAGAGGTTTTGAAAGTATAAAAACTGCTTTAATATTATGGACTATATTAGGGGAAATAAATAAATAAAATTTAAACTTAAATTACCTTCCAAGTCAGGAATTTCCCATCCTCATTCGATGCTTCTCGTGTTCTACACCAGTGCAATGTACATGAATTGGCAGAAAGTGAAATATAGAGGAATTTCTAATTCTAGGTTTGCTGTTACAAAATATACTACCTATAATCATTTTTATGAGTCCTGGGGATTTCCAAGGGTCTGGGGGATCCAATTAGAGAAAGTACTGTCGGGAGCAATTGTTTTCCTTGGAACAAACAGAGAGTTTGGCAAAAAGTTGGGAGAAGGATTTGTTGGGTGCAAGGAAGCTTTTCAGTCCTCCCACAGACAGAAGTATTTTTGCCAGACCGTTGTAATAAGTACTTTGAAAAAGAAACAACACAGCAAAAGCTTTTTATTTAAAATTTCCTCCTTGCTACACTCTTTTTAATAAGTTAAATAGCTATAATTATTCCAATTGAAATATAATTGCATATATGACATCAAAAGTGATCCATGTCTTTGCATGTGTTTTTCTTCTTTTATTACACTGAATGTCAATAAGAATGGCTTCAGGTTTACATTCCAACTTCAATATCTTTAATTTTTAAAACAAAATATAATTATATTTGGTATATACACAAATAAAATGGATCCAAGAAATTTGTGGAAATTTGTGAAGTATTACATGAATTCTATACCCTCTAGATGATTAGTTTGTATGTGTACAGCGGTTTTAATGTTTGCATGAGGTCTGAAAACAAGAAATCGCGTACAATACACTGATAGGCAATTTTAATCAGCCTGCTATTCACCATGATTTTACAGGTTTACAAAAATAAATCAGATTAACCATATCCTGATGTTTTGCGGTAAAACTAAATCCCTCCAAATTTTTCCCACTCCTTTCAAATGTCATAAAGAATAAACTAAAAACCTCTTATAGGCAAAAGCATAATAACTTCAAAAAGCTCTTCAACATTTCAGATTCACATAAAAATTGTCTATTGAGATTTATGTAGTCAAATATTTTTGTGGGTGGCTCTAAAGGGATTTCAAAAATAGTCTCAAAAATTCTAGGTGACTTTATCAAAGATTGTCATTAAATAGGTGTTCCTTTCATGCTATGAAGTGCACCACAAGGGTATATGTACAATGTATCCACTCATCCAGGGGTTCAATTCATAGACTCCTTACCGTTATATGCTTGTCATTTATGTCACACGTATACAGTTCTCTTGTAAATTCCATTACTGTGTGGGTACTATTTTCCATGGCATATTCTAGGTGGTAATCTTGCTGAACATCTTTTTTCAATTCTCTCTTTGCATCTGTAAAATAATCCTATGGGGAAAATGGAAGAGAAAAACCAAGATATCCTAAATTCAGAATGAAAAAAAATTAGAGTATGAATTTATATAGCATCTTTAAAAGGTGGTTCAGGATTTCCTTATTACACAGTTCTGTATCTACAGTCCTTTTGAAAATCTGGGAATTTCCCAGGGGATGGAGCCTCTCCAGTGAGGAATTTCCAACCATTTAAAAAAAATGGTCGCTTCCTTTCAGAAGACATTAGAGATGGAATAAGCAAGCCTTCATGATCACCGATATTTTTTTCTTCCATGTACAAAAGAAAGGGGAACTTTAACAAGGTGAAATGTCTTGCCCCAAGTTACCAGCTAGAGCCAGTCCCCAGGCTAAAACAATCTTTCCTCTCCAGCGCCCTATGGGGGACTACCCTTCACCACCACTCTAAACAAGGTGACCCATCTGGAGGTCATAAACTGTATCATTACGGTTTAAGTCCATGTTTATGAAAACTAAATACAATGGAAAGCATGAACTATACCTAGATGGAAGTACAAGATATTGAATAACTAAGGTAGTTTCATTTATGAATAAGTCATCATTTTGTGCCAAACTCATTCACTGCGCTTCCACACGTGAGCAGTGGGCTAAGGAGAGAGCATGCTCTTTGACCCCCAGCTCTATCCTTAGAGAATTGTGAAGAAGTATTGAAGTCAGAATCTGTGAGGTTAACTTTTAACTTTAGTAAAATGGGGGTAATATATGCTCTTAGAGATCTGAAAAAATCAATAGATAAAATATCATACTAGGAATAAATGTCTACCATGGTTAGAGCTCATGTGATGCCAGTTTATTTTCCTTTTTCTTTTTTTTTTTTTGGTATTGCAGTGTAACTTTTCCCCCCCGAAGACTTACCTATGTTTTTACTTGCTTTGTTAGAAGTTATAAAACTCATGTGGTTGATTTCCCTCATGTATAGAAAAAGAAATCCATCTGCATTATTCTTTTTTATTGTGTAATATTTTGTTTTGAAAAATTAGAGTTGATTCAGAATATACATGCTGAAACATATTTATAATTACTTTTACTATAATTAAAGTTTCACTTAGAGAAATGACTGCTATTCTTGGCAGGGAAAATGTAATATACAAGCAGAAAAAATATCTACAAGTCAGATTCAAATCCGAGACATCTGGCAATTTTAATCCTATTACCCTTTTTAAGGTATTTATCAAGTTGTGGAAATTTGACATCCAGAATACAAGATTCAGATATTCTTCAATATGCCCCAAACACATATTATAGGCAATACACAGAACCTAACTAACCTTTTCTTTTTTTTACCTCGCTATCAATTGACTGACTTACTGTCTGTATTATTCGTGAGTCCTTCCTGTTCTAAGCATCTTGTATGCATTCATTCATTAATTTTCACATCAATTCTATGAGAGAAAATGATTTCACCGTTTCACAGATGGAGACACTGATGCACAAAGAGGGTGAGCACCTTGTGCAGAAAGGCCAAACTGGTAAGGACACAGCTAGTGATGCCAGCCCCAGCAGTCTGATCCCAACATCTCTATCCTTCTCTGCTATCCTTCCTTCTACACAGGAAATGCACATAAACGCCACCTTTTACATGAAATGCAACATTTTCTATTGCTAACATTGGAATTTGTCAATACAAATTATTCTGAGAACCAAGTTATCATTGGAAAGAATTAAAATGAAATATTCCTTTGACATATTCATTTCCTGATTTATAACAAATAGATTTTTTCCATCTGTAAATGAAATAATCATGCCAAAGGACAAAGAAATTTAAATCAACTCACTGTGGCTTTATACTGTACTCACATTTCATTGCATGATTCAAGCAACCAACATTTTTGCCCAAAAAGGGAACACAATACAATTATAGTAAATCTAAAGTGTAGAATAATTACCTACTACAGTAAATAGGTCTCATAAAATGTCCAGTCAGCATGCCAATTTTCCGTGAACTCTCTTTCCACTCAACAAACCAATTCCTTGCATCTTCCCGCCCCTTTCCTGGCTTTTCATAGGGCCTGGATAGCAGAAGCCAGTAGAAACTTCACTAAGTTCTTATTGCCAGTCTCCCCTTGATTTCATCTGCCCTGGCCAAACTGCTGAATGCTTAACATTTAGAAACGATGGCTACCAATTATTTCAAATTTGAGGCTCCTGGAAAAACAGGATTGCCCAAAAAAGGCTGATTTCCTACAACTTTGTAAGGGGAGAAACGATTGAATTGTATGACAACAAAATTTGCCATTTGAAGTGTCCTAATCACCACTGTTATTCCATGATAATATTTCCACATGTCCCAAACATTGAAGGCCTATTGAAGAAACGAATCTTCAGATTTGACCCTAGAATCGCTTCACTTTCCAAATAGTATTACTTTCTTGAGTATAAGCTGACCCAAGTATCAGCTGAGCCACCTAATTTTACCATAAAACGGCATAAAAAATATGCTGGAAAAACTCGGCTGATACATGAGTATATACGGTATGTTTATTTCATATTTATTTTAGCAAAATCCCCCCTAATGCTAGGAAATTCAGGTATTAACTCTTGCTTGCTTCCCAGCTGATTTCCCAGAAGAAATATCCATGGGGGGCGGGGAGGGGGTCTTTTTAAAAATAGTTTTATTGGCATATACTTCACATATCATATAATTAACTATTCAATCATATTAAGAAGAGTTGTGCAATCACCACCACCATTTTGGAACATTTTCTTCTTGTTTTCCCTGTTAGCTCCCCATTCCTCCTCACACCTCCCCTGCCATGTCCCTCGGTAATTATTAAGCCAGTTACTATCTCTATAGGTCTACTTTTCCTGGATTGCATATACAGGAAGTCATACAAATCACAAACAGGAAGTAAATAAAACAATGACTAGGCAAAAGAGAAAAACCTCAGGTGAAAGTAAAATAGTAATTATGAAAAATAAATAACTTTAAAATGGGTCAAAATGAAGATTGAACCATAAGGTGCAACATCTTAACCTAACATTGACTTTCCAAGGCTCTCTGGCACCACCCTCATCTAAGGATCTCATCGCCCTCAATGTAGGATCTCAGATTTCACTTTCCGGAGAAAATTTCAGTTATGATAACATGAGAGCACACATCTAGCCTTCTTCCTAACACCCCACCCCAGTACCTACACACACACACACACAGACACACACACAATCCATCCATCTTATAATCGTGACAAATATTCAAGCATTTCTAAACAAAAGTAGGAAAAGAAAAAAATAACCAAAAAACAGCTATGACAAATAGAAAATGAATGAAAGGGGCAAGTGGGAGGAAATAAAAGTATCACAATAAATCCTACAGGCATTCGGAGGTTAATATTTTACCCACTTTCCTACCAAGAATTAAGGGGGGCCCTGCATGGCACCTGGGAGTCCTGGCGGCGTTGTGGGCGATGCATCGGGCTGTTGCTTCTCGAGACAAAGATAAGGTTGTACGCTCCCACAAAGATCTTTTGTTTGTTCATTTTCTTTTTTTTCCCCCAACTGTTTTATTGGCATATAATTCACATATCATATAATTCAGTAGTTTGATCACATCAAGAAGAGTTATACAGTCTAAGGCCATACCCTGAATGCGCCTGATCTCAAGAGGTAAGCAGGGTTGGGCCTGGTTAGTACTTGGATGGGACAATTACACAATCATCATCAAAACCCAGTTTAGATCCCATAGAGATTTAAAGTCTCAGAAACCCAAAGGGGCAGTTCCTTTTTTTCCTGTGGGATCATTCAAAGTTGGAATTGATTAGATAGTAGTCAATGTCATTCTTCTTTCCTTCCTCTCATTCATTCTTTCTTTCTGTAGTTGTGGGGAGCATGTGCTTTGTATTAGACTAACTGATGTGTTGATCCCATCCAGGTGACCTACTGAAGAAAGGAGCCATGAGCTGCTTCTGTAAGTATCACAACCCCCAAGTCCTCCGCAGGAGTTCTCCTTTGTAACACGTGGAGTTTTACAGCAGGCATCAAAACCACGGCAATGGGTTTTGCTTTATATTGCCATAAAATCGGATCCTTTACATGAGAAATCGATGGAGGTCTTGACAGATACACAACAGCAAAATTCCCTCAGGAAAAATCATCTAAATAATCTTATAATCTATGTATAGGTGAACACCTTCCTACAAAGAAAAATCTAGATCAAGATACTCCCACTTATGGCTTCACCAAATATTTAAGAGTTAGTTCCAATACCCTGCAAATTTTTCCAGACCATAGAATAAAGGAAAGTACTTCTCAACTTTTCTTATGCCAGCATTACCTTGGTATCAAAACCAGACAAAGATATTTTTTTAATTACATGAGGAAATACTGAAGTTGCCAAGGATTTCATTTTCTTTGGATCTGAAGTCACAGCCTATGTGAGCAGCAGTGAAACAAGCAAATCTTGCACCGAACTTCTGATAATTCTGTTACGAAAGACGTTTACAAAGTGTTAAAAAAACAAAAAAAGTGAAGCTGTCACTTTGAGGTCTATGGCTGTGCCTAACCTCAGTCATGGTATTTTCAATCACTTCACTGGGATGTGAAAGGTAAACAATGAGGAATGCTGGAAAATAATTGGTGATTTGAATTATGGTGTTGGGGTAAAAAAATGAATATCCCATGAACTGCTCAAAGAACAAATACATCTCTCTTTGTAAAAGTTCAGCCGGAGTGTTCCTTGGAAGCAAGATATCAGGACTTCCTATCACGTACTTTGGACAGGAAATAGGAAGGACCGGCTCCTAGGGAAGGACATTATGCTTAGTAAAGTGGAAGGACAGGGGGAAAAGCAGCCCTTCAACGAGACAGACTGATGCCGGGCTGCAGCAATGGGCTCTGACAGCATCCATGTGAGGTTGGCAATGGATCAGTCACCCGTTTCATTCTGTCGTACACAGGGCCCCGATGAATTCGAACTGCTTCTGTATCACCTAATAACAACACAACATCCCTCTTGAACTTAGACTTAGATTTTTAATACG